AGAGTAGAGAAAGTGTGGTTACCGCCGATATGGATAGTATCTGGCAGAAAAAAGCGAGCGACTGATAATCACGATCCAATGACGAGGACTGGATGCTACACAGCTGTGAATAGCACACACGGCAAGACAAGATTCGATTTACGCGTGAATGAATGTATTTTGTCTATCCAGCAGCCCCCAAGCACCTTATACGGGTCGTTCCAGCTCCCACCGCCAATGCCACGCGCTGCAACTGCGACGACGCTAATCTCTCTGGAGCTAGGCGAAATGCCAGCCTGCTCGTTCTGAGACAGAGCCAACCCGTCCGTCCAGCCCAGCGTCGACTGTAACCGCAGAATGCAGACACCAAGGCCCTGTCGCTACATACTACGCCTATCTATACTTACCGCTGCCCTGTTTCTTGCGGGTTGTGCTGGGTGTTGTTAATTTTGGAATTCCGTTCCTGCGTCAACCAGAGAGCGCCTTCGATTAACATGAGTCTCGTTCAACACGACAACTCTCACCATGTTTCATCCCCTCAAATCTGCAAGTTGTCTCCTCCCATGGACCATACCGGACTGGACTGATCTGATCTCCCTCCCCGCTGGCGAATTCTGCTAACTAACATGCATCGTTAATTCTACCTTTCCCTGCTGGCTGCGGCCGAGGTGTTTTCTTCTGTCTGCACGGACTCCTTCTGAATTGGGTGTTGTTCCCGATCGTAGTGACATGTAGTAGTCTCAAGGAGAAAAAAGCCAAAGTCAGTAGTTGCAACGAATGCAACGACGCAACGTTCAGTCAGCACCTGCGTAAACCGTCTGAAAGTGGGATGGATGTAGCTGCAAGTGGATGGTGGTGGTGGTGCTGGTGGTGGTTGCCGGGAACCGGGAGACGAGGGGAACCCTTCTTTCCAGCGCGATGACAGCACTTTGCAGTTTACAGGGTTATGTCGACTTCTTTACCGCGCACTGTTGAAGTCGAAACATCCAGTGTTTCCTAACAGCGACAAAAATCGACAAAGGCCCAATAGCATGGCAAAGCGGTACTCTACTTTGATACCTCTACATTCTGATACTCGAAATCAGATGAACAGGAGCGTTACATGCAGTCATGACATGAAAGTGCCCCTCAACTCAAAGCTGGGGTGGGGCATGGGATGGGCTTTGTGAGGTGTTCATGATGCGATGCTCAAGTTGATGCACCCCGCAGTCTGATGCAACGCCTCAATTTTACCGTATGTAACTGTCGACAACACCGGTCTACTCTATGTTGATTGCGGGGCAAATGCAACTTGCATGAGGGTGTACATCCTCCACATCCTACCTTCCACTTTGTGTATTCCCGTTCTTCGGGTAATATGTTTAAAGTGGGGCTTTTTCTAGGAGTGACCTCCAGAGTGTACCGAAGTTTCAAAAGTGTACATCTAGACTTGTGTTGACAGGCAAGGGGTGTGGTAGATGGTCTCTCCGGGGCGGGAAAAAAGTTGCAGCCAGGATCTGCCCTATTGACGAAGCAACCATAGATCACGAAGTACTAACTATGACGGCCGCGGTAGCTAAAAGCCGATCGATCTATTGGTCGCTCGTAAAGCTTTGGGCAGCAGACCAGATCAACCAGTCGTAAGCACATTACTTTTTCCATCTTCAACCCGTAAATCATTTTGTGTTCCTTTTGTTTGTATACCGTATCTGCATCGGATACCTGCGATGATTATCCACGGCAGCAACAACCCGATGGCAGTACATACTATCATTTGCATCAGGTGTTGACATCACGCCGAACATCGTTGAAAACTCACGGGAAAAAAGAGCGGGGACACATGTTGGTGGTGGCAAAATCACTCCGCTCTTCGGAAGCTAGGCACGACGGGGCCCGCCGAAGTAATGATACCGATGGGTTTGTTGTTTAGTCCTTGGGATAGAGTTCCGATAATCCTGTTCCTGCGGTGAGTTGCTCAAGCCTCGTGAGCAAGGCCAGATCCTGGGGTGATGTGCCTGTCAATCCTCTAGGGACTATCTGTGCGCAAAGTTGGAAGAGCCAGTACTAGTTGACTACGTGTATCGATATAGATATGTAGATAGACACGACCCAGGAACGACGATGCTGTAACTCGTTCCTGGATCCTGCTGTCATTTCGTCTGTGCAGGTGGTGTAGGGATCAGGTTGTAAGTACTGGGTGGCGAACAGGGCTGAAGATGTGCCTTGGAGGGCTGGGGCCGGGATACTTTGTCGAAATTCGCCTGGAGATTGCTTGGCTGTACCTTGCGAGTCTTCGTTTCGTCCTACCCTGCTTACTGGAAATAACAGGACGATATTACTGATATCGCTCATGGTTTGCACGGTTAATAGTTGTCTACATGAAAAGCTCTTCTATGTCACACATAAACAGCATATGTCAACGTGCGTGAAAACCTGCATCATTACTGTAGATTAATAATTGTTAAACACCTTTTGATGCTCGTCACAAGCCAGAAAAAACATTGGCAGTTCAATTAATTCAGCGTACAAGTGGGTCACATACCACATTGGAAGGTAGGATTAATTAGTTCCACAGCAGAATCTGACAGGCCCACGTGGAGAAAATGTTAACTTAACCACCCATGATCGTATACCTAGAGTGCAACATTACCGCAATATTCCAAAACACAATATCCTAGCTAAGTTGGTTTCCGTGTGGATTCTTCAGGGCGTGGATACTCTAGTGGCTTGATGATGATGACGTTGAAAGTTAACCGATGGACATTTCGCATGTGGAAGGCTTAGTATCCCTTCTCCGTCGGGTTCCAAGCCCGGAAACCCTTACTGGACCGGCTGTTTTCTCGAGAATTTTGAACTGCGGGGCTAAAGTCAGCCGAATAATACCACCTTAACAATCTCAACGTATGACAAAGCTCGGGATGACTCTACCAACGCATAGAATAGCCCAATCCATATTCGACGTCACAATTTGAATCCGTTCGTCGAATTCAATCCCAATCCAAGATCTGCAATCCAGGTTGAAAAAGTCACAACCTGATGCAAGACATTAATTGAATCCGCACTAAAAACCGGGGATTCATCATACAATAGAAGTCATTTGAGCATCAAATCTCAATTGAGATATTCAACGCGCGGATCGGGCCGCCAAGGGCCGTTACGGAATGTCATATGGACAATTGTGGTCTAACCAATTTCGTGAGTTCTCCGCGAAGACTTTTAAGGCCAAGAAGATACAAGATCTATAGTCAACTCTGGTATTCCGGTGTTGAACCGATGGATAAATCCTATGTATCATGAAGAATCATCAAGATGAAACATCGTGTCGTGAACACATGATATTCCAGAAAGAAAAAAAGAAGAAAATAACTCAAAAAGCACAAGGAAGTATATCTCACAGTATTTAATGACGTTAGGGTGTACTCTATTTACTTTAGGTATTGATACCCATAGTAGAGCCCTAACTAGGGGAATAAGCAGTAGGGTAAAACGTTTCGCCGGTGTAAGCTTTCACCCCGCAATCACGAATGTCGCACCAGCCAGCTAACACGGAAATGAGTTAGAGATAAACTTACTTACCTAATGTACACATCACGAGTTGGTGGATATTGTGCAAGGGAATGTGCGAAGAGCCCTTATGCAAGATAAGGTTCTGCGGAGAAGGCTGGTAGAACGACGGGGCCCCATATTATGCACCCCAGTTCATCTACACTCGCACTCGTGAACCTTATCGAACGACAATAACAGGGAATAGGTGATCTAGAACGAAAAGCATTTAGCCTGGCGTTGCACACCTGTATGATAATGATGCAGACCAATGTAAACTGATGGTTTATGCATCTGTTTACCCACGATAACGGACAGGAAAGAAGTCCGTTCTCCAGTTCGAGGTTCGCTAGCTGTTCTAACAGCAAAAAGCCTCAAAATGGTATGGTTCGATAATAATGCAGGTTCGTTTGTGGGGTATCAAAGTTATGATGCCAATAGATAGATCTCGGAGAGGAACGTGGCCGGAGGTGGAGGCAGATGGAACGACAATTGTTAACCCGGTCAAGTCGGACTCTGCTCGTCCGGGGGAGCTCCATCTAGATAATTCTTAGCATCGTCCAAGCTCTTTCACATTACATAGTACGAGTGAGAGACATTGGCTGGAAACACGGATAATTAGAAATGCATTATCTAGCATCTAATCACTAAATGCACTGCTGTACGTTTTATCTACTGCATTTTGGTGATGTAACCTAATGCATCGAAGGATTCCGTGCATATCCGGACTTCTAAAAGCCTCAAGCCTCCACAATAAAGTTGTCGCATCATTATGCAGGTTCGTTTATGGGGTACATAGAGTATTGTGGAGTGAGGCCTTTACAGCCCCCACAATCCACCACCCCATAATCAAGATATCCATGCATTCCATCTGGTCATCCGCCTCTCTGATTTCCCAAAACCTGGTTGAAGACCTCCTATAATTCTTCGGATAATTTACCATGTGGAAGACAGGTCGGTAGTGTTGATTGCATCAAATTCAGGTACCGTTCGAAGGGAGGTGAAGACTTGTAAAGCATGAGGGAATTGTCATTTTGAATGCCCGCATAAACTTTAACAGTAATATTTTAAAGCCAGGGTACTATCACGGGCCGAAAACGTTGAGGTCGCACTTCTCCCCGAACTCTCGTGGACGGGCCGAAATTCCATATTCCCCGGTGGATCTTCGGACTGGACCGCAGCCGGAAGAATCTAGTAAGCGCAGAGGAATTCACTACTCTTCGGGGCTTTAACTGAATTATGCGCGCTGAATTATGATAGTAGTGGGTCCTCAGTTCAGCCGATTCCCGTCGGAAATATTACTTCCGGAATCCGGATCTTCAAGCTGAATCTATAGAGTAATCACTTACCTTGGTAGCCTCAAAGCCATCAACAAATACTCTAGATACAAACTCCATTTCTGTACCCGCAGATGACAAACAAAGCAATCAAAAACAAGGTCATAAATGTGGACAGCGGTATCGGAAGATTTCGACTGAATGATAAAACAACGAAAAAAATGATTCAGCCGGGATTCGAACCCGGGTCGAGCGCAGAATGCAAATGGCAAGCGCTCATGATACCCCTACACTACTGAATCACATGACGTGAGAGAGACTTTATCTTTCTATTCCATGGATTGTACGAATCCTTTGTAACCAGATGTTCTGGTGGACCGACCGAGTCATCGTCCGAAGTATGCAGATTGCATCAACCACTACATATCTTGTTGGTTGCGACACGAAAAAGAGTCCATCGCTTTGAAACGCTTCAAAATACTAATACCAAGAGCGCGATATGATTTTTGTACCGCTGTGTCTGTGTTTTGCGACGCCGAGTGATTGTGGGATGTTCTGGTAGGGCGCTAAGACTTGGCGTACCCTAATCTAATCGATCTGTGGTGTTGTTTCGCAGTCTCTAGGGTTTCCAAACTTAGCGCGCACAACCTACCGAGCACGCCGGGAACGCTTTGAGTCTACCAGGCTGTAGCGAAGCTTTCTCGAGCACCCGATACCGTCACCACCGAACTCAACACTCACGGACGCCTATCATGTGAGTTTACCTCCGAGTACCCTGCGAAATTACGAGAAGACGAAATAGCGAGAACGCGATGTTTCGGCGCCGGTGGAGGGTCTACAATGGGGCGGAATTGGCGACGGGATTATCGCGACGAAATTGGACGTTTTACTGATGGGAAATCGATCGATAGGTCGCTCGTCTCGGGAGAAAAGTCGAACTTCCAGTTCATCCTCCGTCTCCTCAACACCAACGTTGATGGAAAGCAGAAGGTCATGTACGCCTTGACCAAGATCAAGGGAGTTGGACGTCGTTACTCCAACTTGGTCTGCAAGAAGGCCGATGTCGACCTTAACAAGCGGTACATATTCCTCCGATGAGGCGTTTTATTCGAATCAGTTCTAATTCGATCCCCAGTGCCGGAGAGCTCACCACTGAGGAGCTTGAGCGTATCGTCACCATCATCCAGAACCCCACCCAGTACAAGATCCCCGCCTGGTTCTTGAACAGACAGCGCGACATCGTCGACGGAAAGGACTACCAGATCCTTGCCAACGGAGTCGACTCCAAGCTCCGTGAGGACCTTGAGAGACTTAAGAAGATCCGCTGCCACCGTGGTCTCCGTCACTACTGGGGTCTCCGTGTTCGTGGACAGCACACCAAGACCACCGGACGTCGCGGTCGCACCGTCGGTGTCTCCAAGAAGAAGTCATAAACGTATCGCCCCTTCTTGGGTTTATGGTGCAATTTGTGGTGGAGTTTTTTTCTCTTTGTTCGGATGTGTCTATCTTGCGCGGTTTTGTGAGATAGTTGGTCATTTGGCGTCAAAAAAAAAGTACACGGACCACATGCTGCATCAAACAGTCTGATATCGTTCCTTTCCGCGAACAATGTGATAGAAACAAGAGCTCTGCCAGAAGCTTAGCCGGAGGAGGCGCGGGCTGGGTTGTACATTAAAAGTGTGAATCTCGAATTTCTTAAAATAGATACCTCAAAGCTTAATTTATTTGTGTTTTCGTTGCTATCACTAAAACAAGCCATAAACTCTCGCGTAGATCATTTTTAAGTGCTCTAGAAGCTCACCTTGCGAGCTGGCGTTCAGATCTGCGCTGCAAAACAAGGACACAACGTAGAGTCGAATCTTCGCGGCTTGTGGACAAACACAATGACATAATTTTCCACAAATCTCACCCAGCCACATAAATAATAGCCAACCTTCCAATTCAAACAAACAATTTGATATACACATACAGTAAACATCATTTGTATGTAATGCTGATATTCATTCAAAGCTTTAAGCACAGTGCTTGTGTGAGATAATCAAGCCGGGTTTATGATAGTGCCAAAGCTAGTATTGTAGACGGAACAACTTGCGATATGTTTACAGAGTTTCTTAATTCGACCATTATCGAATCGTGCGGCCAGAAAACACAAAAGAAGCAACTTCACTAATACGGGGGGTTTGTGCACGAGGACTCGAGTACAATTTTCAGTTTTGAGAACAAAGAATCAACTCCGTATTTAACCATAAGTCCATTAACTTTTTTGAGTACCAACCCCATAGCAAATCGCTACAGAAATGCACCAAGCACAAAATATCAACAATATTTTTAAAAAACCAAAACCAAAAACTCCAAAAAGAAAAGCTAGCCCCAAATTTACCGCTTCTTTCCCTTCTGCTTATCTTTGCTCTCCTTCAACAATCTTCGTGTCTCGACAAGCTTCATCTTCTGTCCACTCTTGTGTTTCCTCAACGTCATCAAGAAGTTCTTTTTTCTGTTCTTCTCCTTGTTGGTGGTAGAGTGTGCTTTCTCCTTTAGCTTCTTACCCTTGCTGGAACTGTACTTCTCACGGCCTTCACGTCCCTCCATTACGGCTTCGATACGGGCCTCCCTGTCGGACTTTCCACGTTTGAGGTTACCCTGGATGATGTTCTGCTGGACGACCTCCTCGTTCCTATATCAAATCATTAGTTCTATTCCATGATAGCCACTAGCAATACGGGGAAAACATACGTCAAGTTCTGACCCATCAACTTCTTCAAACCAGCCTCCTCTCTAAGTTCCTGCAACTTAGCGAAATCCGCCGGCGTAAGAATCTTCGTAGTTGCAAGCTTAGAGTCCTTAGCAGCCTGAAGTCTCTTAATCTTCTCCTCATCATCATCCGTCTTTGCCTTCTTCCTCACACCATCCTCATCTTCTGAGTCAGACAATACAATGTCCTCTCCATCACTCTCAACCTGGATCCATCCCTCCTCCTCCTCATCAGAGTCCTCCTCAACCTCCCACTGTGCCCAAGCAGCCTCATCATCTTCTTCCTCATCCTCATCATCATCCGCATCCGACTGCTCTCCCTCTCCACGCTCAGCACGCTTCATCTCTCTCTGTGCCTCCTTCCAGGCCTCAAGAAGCTCAATACCCTCGATGTGACCCTCCGCCTCCTGTCCGAACCGGAGCTCAGTGTGATCCTTCATTCCCATGGAAGCGGTCTTTCCACGGTCCTTGCGCTTAAGCATTTCAGGAGCAACCTCTCTGTAAAGGGTGATCAAAGATCTTGCAGCCATGGTAACTCCCTTATCCTTGGATCCCTTGTACTCGGTCAAATCCTGGAGAAGAGTGGCGTCCATAGCTAAGGGTGAACGAGCACAGATTTCTCTAATAGCGTTTAAACCAGCAGTAGCAACCTCGCTGGAAACTCCGTCGGAAACGAACTCATCGGCGATCTTGCGAACGATAGGCTCGAGACAGTCGGGAGGGACGAGGTCGTGGGTAGCCTGGGCGGCTACGATAAGAAATTGGGTGACATCCTTCTGCTTGGGGGTGAGGAACTTGAGAAGGTAGGAGTAGAGAGCGAGACAAGAAAGCTTGTGGAGACCAATGAGACGGGATTGAAGCTGGAGGACGGGGATTTTCTGGTCGAGGTTGAGTTTAGAGTTACGACCGAGGTGCTTGGAGAAGAGCTGGTCGGCGAAACCCTGGGGGTCACGGAGAAGGTGGAGGGCGGAGAAGTTGAGAGGGTGAGGCTTGTCCTTGTTGGTGCGTTTCTGATAGGTGTTAGCGGCGGCAAGAGGGAGTAAGTATGGAGAGATTATGTACCCGCTTCAAAATGGACTGTGCCTTTTCGATCTTCTTGTGCTTGGTAGACTTCTTGTTTTTGTTAATCTGAAGCTGATGCTTAATTTTGTTAAGATCGGGTCCCTCGGATTCGGACTCGTCGGCAAGGTCCTCCTTCTCTTGGTCGACACCGAGGAAGAAACGGACCCCTCCGCTGATAACCTTGGGGTTGACACTCAAAGAGGCCTCCTTCATAATTTCAACGGCACGGGCATCGTCCCAGACACCACGCTTCCAGAGCTCACGGGTAAGCTTGACAGCCCAGAGACCGTTGGTAGAGGCGAAGTCGTCCTTTCCTTGGTCAACGAGCTCGAAGAGAACTGCCTGGACAGTCTTGTTGAGCTTGTGGTTCTTGGTCTTGTTGTTGGAATTGCGCATCTCGGAGACAATACTCTTGTAGATCTGGTGACGGAGGACCTTGGAGGTAGTCGCAGTCAAAACCGGGAAGAGGGTCTTGAGGAGCTCGGAGGAGGTGATAACGTCCTTGTTCTTGAGAAGAACCAAGCTCTGGACAAGCTTCTCTCTAAGATCATGGTTGAGGGAGTTGTGCTGCTTCAACAAGAGCTGGGCCAAATCGTCGGGGAAGGTCTTGGTCAAGTCGGGGAACGAAGTTGCAACCTGGGCCATAAATCCAATAAGTTCCGAAAAAGCCTCAGTGTTTGCAGCGGTAGGTTGCTCCATAAAGATAGCACGCTGTGACTCGTAGTGGCCATGTTGGCGAATGAATTCTTCACGGTAAGAGGGAGGATCGCGACGAATAAGGTTCTGTAGCATAGGCCTTTTGAGCTATTAGCATTTAGTTTTTCTGTTATGAATTTTTGGTATTTACAGATTTTGGAGCTTCTGCAAGCCTGCGCGCTTTCTTTTACCGGCGTCGGACATCTTGGGCGGCGGTAATTGAGGGGAGTTGAGGTAGAGAGCGATGTCCACTTTTCGTGGCTTGAGATGCGCGAGAGAAGTTCCAAAAAAATTCCTGGCGCTATTCTGGCGCGCACCCCCACCACCGGGTAAGTGTGAGCATGGGTCCAGACCGCGCGTGTCACGTCCAGAAGAGTCTTAGCTTAGCCGTACCAGACTACTGCCAGCCCTGCATCGATTCTCGAATCTTAACGAGCCGCTCCGCGATCACTCGTACCAATCTGAAATTAAAGGGTGGAGAAACCGTAAACCTTTAAATTCATTCCTTCATCCGCACGCATAGCCACAATACGTCTCCATCTGACTACAACATTTTGCATCTATTTACCAAGCCATGTCATTGCGCATCACAAAACTCAAAAATAATAAAAACCTAACGCGCGTATAACCCGCACCAAAAGACAGCAAGAAACAAAAACATTACCCCCCCCAGATATCTTTAGTCTACTCTGCTTTGTTCAACCCTTTTAGGGCTCCAAGGCTCAAAGCCAAACCTTGGCTGCGACTGCGTATCCTCACGAATCCGGTGATCGGGCCGTTCTCGCCGTCCTTC